TGGGTGGCTTCCTGCAAGGATCCCATTCTGTAGAGGGCAGAAAGGAAGACACACAGAGTAGAGCTGAGGATACGGCTGCTGTGCAAACCTGGTTATTACTGTAATGGTTGGAGCATAAGGGAGATGGACAGAGTGTGAAGCTGAGCAGAGATGTCCAAATACAGATAGAGACATGCACCTTTACCAGTGTTAAAACATGTGTACTGAGGTCATGACCTTGAATGCCCATGATCTCTGTATAGAGGAACAAGGTTGAGCTCGTAACAATTAATGATGATCGGTTAATGGTATAGACCTCTTACCCTTGTACAGACAGTTTGTGTCCTTGATCGCATGGTAACATAGGATGCACATAGAGGAAGAGAATGTTGTCTAAGGAAATAATTAGAAAAGGTATGGATCCTGAGATGAGAATTTTTATTCTTCCCGATGGTGGCCATGGGAAGCTACTCAGGGAAACAGCAGTGACCACCAGGTTGAGCCGGTCCTCTGATGGCCACTCTCTCTTGCCAGAACCCTTACAATAACAGTAACAGTCAGAAAGGGAACCAAAGGGTCATGGTTTCTAGAAATTTCTAACAGCTAGCCATCGTGGGAACCACATACATTTTTAATCTCACATAATCAAGCATGGAAAGAAATAAAAAATGAAAAATAAAAAGATGTATTTGTTCCATCTCTAAGGAAGGATACTGTAAAATCTACCTGTAGAACCTAACAGAGAGGCTGAAGTGAAAAAACCTCGGCCACAACCAGATGTATAAATAGGTCCTGCAGTGCAGGCTGCTGCATGCTTAGGTAGGACAGTGAGGAACTTAGAACAATCTGTACAGTGGTAGGCTCAGAACTCATCTTTCCCCTGATTAACCTCATTTCTCAATAAGGTTTGTTCATCTCAACTCTTCACATTCCAGTGAATTCTTCCCCCACCAATCTCTGCAAGCTGATACATCTACCAAACAGGCACGCACATGAAGTGTGAAAGTGTATGTATTTGCCCTGGATGTTCAGTAGAGAGCCATCTAGGGGACCCATGCTGCACAAGTAGTCCTGTGGATACACTTAGTTTATGTAAGCCTTATTTTTACAGGAAACTAGAGAGGAAATGTGGCTAGGGTTTAAATGCTAACGTAATGATTCATCTAGGCATGGATCAAATAGCAACAACAAGGTGTACAGCTTCAGCTGGAACTTCTGCACCCGAGCAAGCACCACGTTACTGTGAAGGACAGAGGAATGGGGAAGATGGGGGAAAGGAAGGAGAGAAAAAAAATCTTAAGGAAAGAAACAGAAATGGGCCAGCTTCCCTTTCTTCTGCATTTGTCCAAACACATCGAGTACACAAAGAATAAGGTTTTTCCTCCACACACTAAAATGCAATTGTTTCTTCAAATTATTCAGCTCTCAGAAAGTGCAAGCATGCTCCTTAATGACATGTTTCCTCCAAAGAGCCCTGTACTGGGTGGTAAAACCACTGACTGGCAGTATGCATTATTCATCAGATCTGGAAAGAGCCTAATCATCCATTCTGTTGTTAATGGCCTGTAAATAGTTGCTTTTGACAAGAACATTTAACACCAGCAAGAAGGGGAGTCAGAGGAGGGAGGAGAACATAGAACTTGAAATAACAAGGTTGAGAAATAGTTTGGAGCATACTTATTATGGCATCTGGAAGCTGAAAGGCAGATCGGGTGTCCATGTGTCCTTGAGAAACTGAGGAGAAAGCTAATCAAGCCACAAGGTAGAAAATGAGAATGTCACTAGTGATACCCAGTGGGGGCAGGTGCAAAAGCCACCCATGGTACCCAGTAGAGACACCCCCAGCCTTCATCTCACACTGTCTCTGAGCACATCCCTCCCTCACTGTTCCTCTCTCCCTCTTGTCTTTCTTGAGATCCTATAAAATATTTCCCTTTGAGTTTTCCTGTAACCTCCAGCATTCTCATCTGTGTGCAGTAGAATGCAGAGGAAAGAGACCTGGGTTTGCTCCAGAACCATCAGTGGTCAGTGCATACTAGAAAGGTGTTTCTGAGCCTCAGTCTTCACTTTTGGTCACTGGATTAAATAATATCTACCTTTCAAAATGGTCATATGGCTTGAATGGGAAAAAGCAGGTAAAATTTATGATACAGTAACAAGAATACATGCAGTTATTAGTAAATGTTAATTTCCTTGCCCGTTTCCCTTATCTTTAAGTCAGAAATGGCGACACCTTTCTCAGACGTGTGTGGTGAAGATCAGAGGAGATGATGTTTGAGAGAGCAACACAGGGTTTGTTTTGGTGGATTAAGCTATTTTTGTAAGTGTAGACATTTGTTAGGGACAGAGTTCTCTATATTTATTTCTCTAAAATTGGATAAAGGTCATGACTGGAAATATGGAATTGGCATGTGGCACAAAAAGTGCTAATTAAAAAGCAGAGAAGTAGTCAGCATGCTCCCAGGCATCACTAGTTTGTACAATGTTTGGATGAAATCCTCCACGCTTCCCTGGTGTGACATCCCTGCCTACAGAAGGCAGGTCCTTCAACTTCCGGTCCTTTCTTGCCACTTTGTGAAGGTCCTCAGGTTATTCCAAATGTACTCACAAATCTTCGGTATTCTGCACCAGGCCTCTTGCTTATGTCACTTTCTGAGAACCTAGGATCTTTCTTGAGAAAACTGACTTCCATGCTAAAAGTGCCATCGTTTGGGCCTCCCAAAGTCACTAACTCAAACAGCTATTCTGTCCCTTTTGTTCTTGCCGTACCAGAGACAAGATACATTTCAAGAAGAATAGAGAATACCTCCTTCCTAACTCCATGTCACATTTTGCCACCAAAGGCACTTGGGACCCAGAGCAGGCCCCAAGTTTCACGGGGTCCCAAAAGAAAAGTGTTTCACCTTAGTCTTCTGCCTGCCTTGCCTCCCTCCAAAAAGCTCAAGCTCTGTCCAAGGAGATCTTCCTGAAAATGGATAGTACCCAGGCCTCTCCACTTCCCCAGCACTGCCCTGCCCCGTTCCCATGTCTCTGCCTCCATGCATTTAGGGATAAAGCTCCTTGCAGCAGCCAGCTTCCCCTATACACGCACCATGCAAACCAATCCATGAAAATAGTGCCTACAGTTTAACCATGCTATCAGCTCACAAAGATCTGAACACTACACCTACAACCACAACACACATGCATGCACAGAGGCGTGCGCGCACACGCGCGCGCACACACACACACACACACACAGGAGCTTCATTTAAACCCACAAGATAAAAACTGATCCACACTCACCCAGGGAGATTCTTCTTCTCTTAGCCTATTTTTACCTTGTTTGCTCTTAGACCGCCATTTGAAACAAGTGTTTCTCTCCTCCCATGAAATGAAGTATAGGCCATTCCAAATAAAGCAAATTTAAATCTATATCTAATTTATTTCCAATACAATAGCCACTTAGCAGTTCTTACTTACTGTTGGCTTCACAGGTGCCAGATATAGATGCCTTAAAAATCCTCCATTTGGTGAGTCAGCATTAAGTTATAATCTCAACATGTGGAGTTGGGGACAGTCTAGACCTTCAGTCTAGACAGCCAATCTGCTCCTAACGTACACTTTTTTCCCAGCTAAACCAAGCTAAAACAGGCTCAGTGCTTACCTGACTCAAAAGATTGCTATATTATGGACCTGGCAACCCAAGTTAATTGGAGATGAATGGTCCCCCTAGGGAGATGAAAACCAAGGGAAAATAAGAAAGCAAAAATTATAGAATTTATATCCATTTGCTTAATCACCACCCCTTGCTCCTTGGTGCATGAAAGTAATAGACACCTCATTGTATTCAGTTCTCTATTTGTATTCACTGCTTTATCTCACTCTTCATCTGCATTACGATTCTGTTCACTGTTTCTTCTCTTCTTGCAGAACCTGTCCTGTGAGCTCTTAATGCTGGCATCTCCTTTCAAGGTTGCATCCAATCATTGAAATGAAGAACACTCTGTGAAAAGAAGTTAGGGCCTATGTTCTGCACATATATATTTTTCCAAGCAATGCACATTTTGCTCTTTATGATACCCTCAGTTTCAGTAATTGGAAGATAAATATTTCTCTTTTTTAAAGGGAGATTCTTAATCAGCCTTTCAGAGGGAAAAAACTTGCCTCTGGAAAGGTTTTACAATAAAAATAATAAAATAACAAGATCTGAGATGGCAAAGATAAATGTACCTATTTGACACTCTCTCTGAGGCAAAATGCTTTTTAATTCTTTCTGGCTCTCAAATGTGTGGCTTGTCCTTGGCCTTCATAAACAATTTCTCAGCTTACTAGTGAACCTTACCAAAAGAAATCATGTATTTTTAATTTGGTAAAATATACATAACATAAAATTTACCATTTCAGCTATGTTTAAGTATACAGTTCAGTGGCATTAAATGCATCTACACAGTTGCGCAACTATCAGCATATTCCACATCCAAAACACTTTCATCTTCCCCAACTGAAGCTCCATACCTATTAAACAATATTCCCATTCTTCTCCCCTCCCCAGCCCCTAAAAACTACCTTTCTATTTTTTGTCACTATGAATTTGACTATTCTAGGTACCTCATATAATTGGATCACACAATATTTGCCCTTCTGTGTCTGGCTTCTTTCAAAACTCACAGTTTTTAAATCAAAGGCAACAGAGGTAGAAGGAGACGATTAATATTTTGAAAGACAAAACTGCCAGTTCAAGTGCCATCTCTGCCACTTGCTCCCTCTGTATTCCTAGGGAAAATCCTCTAAACCTCTTCCCTCCTCAGCCCCAAATGATGGTACTAGCAAATGTGGGTTGTGTGACTGTCACAGGGACTAATGTGTCCATAGTGTGGTATAGGAGATAGAGTGAATATTCAACAGATAGCATTTCTTCTTCCAGCTACTAAGCCTAAGGAATTTGAGATAAATTCAGATGTCTAACTTTCAGGTTACTGAAGTCTTAGGTTAAACTACTGCTTACGTGCCTATCAGACATAAACTGAAATAGACTCTCATTAAAATGTGAATGAATAAGAATATCTTAACCAAAGGTTTATTGTGGTAATAAAATAAGATTAAATATGAGAGCTCAATATATAAAATTCAATAATGGTTGATCCAATCGCAAGCAGAGGGATTCCAGCATGGCATCAGATGGTCTGAGATGCGCATGATGAACATGATAGAACTGTTGGCATCACTGAGACAAGAGAGAAGGAAAGATGATGCAACATTCACAGCATGAAAGGAGAGAGGTCTGGACCTATAAAAAAAAAAAAGCCTTGTATTTCCTGCAATAAAAATACGATTGAATAGAAACATATGCCTAGCAGAATCTTTTTATTTTATTGTTGGAATAAAAACTAAAGGTCATCGATACCAATATCATCATCTCATGCAGCTGATAATGGCTCTTGCTTCATATCTCTAAATACTTTCTCACCCATAGACTGCTATTTGTTTTAATATACCCCTGAAAAACATGAAAAATGTCTTGCCTTCCAGCCAATGCAACGAAATTGCCTCTTGTGCTAGCATGTTATTACTCAGTTCTATTCTGCCACTGCCATTTCTGAGAGGGCTTGATCCCTAAGAAACTAGGCCGAGTTGTAGAGTCAACAGAATTTAACTTCTAACTCGTGGTGTTACAAGATTTTGGATGTTTCCAAGGAAAGGGGAGAGGCAAGATATCTGAATTGTCAGCTTGTGTAGCTAAAGAAACTTACCTACTATGAAGGGCATGCTAAATCTAGTCAAGCAAAAGATTTAACATATATATATATATATATATTTAAAATTTTAAGATGAATTGACACATAAAAGCACAGAATACGCATGCACATATACACCCCTAAGTCAGACCCCAAGACAGGAGCTAGGAATCCAGCAGTGTGAATGGCTGAATAACAGACCCCAAGTCTTTCAAGTCCTAATCTTTGGAACCTGTCAATGTGTTACTTTATTTGGAAAAAGGGTCTTTGCAGATGTAATTAAATTAAGGATACTGAGATGTGGAGATCATTCTAGTTTATGTGGGTAGGCCCTAAATGCAATCACATATGTCCTTATAAGAAGGAGACTGAGGGAGATGTGACACAGAGAGAAAAAAGTGCCATAAAGACAGAACAGAGAGATTTGAAGACACTCACCTTGTGGACCAGAATGACATAGCCAAGGTATGCCAAGGAATGCCGACAGCCCCAAAAGCTGCAAGAGGCCAGGCAAGGATGCTCCTCTAGTGCTTCCAGGTGAAGTGCAGCCCTACTGAGACCTGGATTTAAACCTGGTGATTTTAGATTTCTGGTCTCTAGTACTGTGGAAGAGTATCTTTCTGTTGCATAAGCCATTGAGTTGAGGAAAATATGTTTCAGCAGCAATAGGAAAATAATAAAGGCCATATAAAAAGATAGTACAATCAGTTCTCCCATGGATCTTACAGTCTAGAAGAGAAGACAGAATATTAAACAAGTACTGACAGTAACATAGTATGGTTGATACAATAGGAAAAGAAAAGATTAAGAACACATTAACAAGTGGCCTAATGTGGCACTGGAGGTCACGGAGGGCCGTGCTTAAGTGCTTAAGGTGAGGTGCAAAGATCTGAGTTAGTAGCAGTTACATGAGAAGGTGCAGGGCAGTCATGGAAGTGGGTTCCACCCTGTGCCAGAGTCCATGGAAAACATTCCGCATTCTAGCCCTGAAGACAGCCCCATGGGCCAGAGCACAGAGCAAATTGAGTTGGAAAGGATGAGGTGGAGAGGCAGGAAAAGACCCTGTTATGCAAGAACTTATAACCATGCAAAGGAATATACAGATTATCTTAAAAGCAATGGAAAGCTGCTCAAGATTTCAAGTCAGGGGACAATGTATCAGATTTGTTGTTTTTTAATGGATAATTTTGGTTTTGCTGCAAAGGATTTATAAAGTTGGACTGGAACCATACCAATTGGGGAGGCTGTAGCTATAATACAGGCAAAAGATCATTGTGCCTTATACCAGGACAAGGGACAATGGCAGTTGATCTAGAGAGGAGCGAACACTTGAAAGAGATGTTTAAATATTTAGATGTTTAGTTTACAGAACAGAACTTTGTGATGGATGGATAGGGGACCTGTGAGAAGGCAAAGAGTCAAAGGTGGCTTTCTTCACTGAGGCATGGAAAGCTGAGATTCCAGAGGGCTAATGATGAGTTTGGTTTTAGATGCATTGATTTTGACATACTGGTAGAAAACAAAAATGGAAGTATTGATTTGGGGAGTGGAAATACATATATGGAACTCAGAGTGTCAGTCTGCCCTAGAGAGGCATAACTTAGAGTTGAGGAAGGGAAAGAAAGAGAAAAGAGGAAAAGGTTCAGGACAGAAACAAGAACTCTCAGTGGATACGTCACCAAGATAGAGGCTCTATACCAAACAACCTCTCCCTTACTCAAAACCTTCCTAATTTCAAGATAACAAATTTTTTTTCAAAAAGTTTCTTAAAGAATATGCTTACACAATGTCTCACAAATAATTTTCTTATTCAATAACAAGACAATAGACATTGCAGAGATAAAAAGATGAACAGAAAATGGTAACTGCCTTCATTGTTCACAATATTAGCAATAGATATGTTAGGTATTGTATACAGGGGCAATGATATCCACATTAACTGATGTGGCCAATACTTATTGAGTGCCTAGTATATATTGTTAGGTATTTTGTTTGGCCTTTAAATTGGAACCGCGAGCTAGATGGAGACAGACTCTGTACTTAAGGAGTTTACTTTCTAACAGACGCACTTGGTGAGTAGAGAGATGAGAAGAGATATTGGGTCATGTGCATTACAGGATAAAAGAAGATAGCGGGAGTTACATTTTCTAGCAGGCCAGGTCAGTAGATGGAGGAATTAGAGAAGGCTGCTCAGACAAGGTGACCTGTGATTTAAAGTTAGACAAATGAAGAGGAATTCACCAATTGGGAGGGAAATTTTGTAAAAAAAATAATGGTTCAGGGGTGAGAGAGTACCTAACATCATCAAAGCACATATGTGGCTGAAACACTGGAGGTTGAAGCCAGATACTGAGGAACCTTGAATGTCATGCAAAGTGCTTTGGACTCCAAGTATTTCTAGACAACCAGGTATAACCTTTCCTTTTTTTTTTTTTTTTTCTGATCCAGCTGAATCTGTTAATACTCATAGATAGCAGAACACTGAGCATATTATAGATCACTTGATTAATACAGTGGAAGCCATGCTCCATCTCCACATGAGCAATTAGAACAGGCATCCTCAAACTACAGCGGGCCAGATGCACGTGTTTTTGCCCATTTGTTTTTTTACTTCAAAATAAGATATGTGCAGTGTGCACAGGAATCTGTTCACAGTTTTTTTTTAAACTATAGTCTAGCCCTCCAACAGTCTGAGGGACAGTGAACTGGCCCCCTGTTTAAAAAGTTTGAGGACCCCTGAATTAGAGAATAAATGAAATGGGTTTGTGCTGTGGGATGAGAGTCATTCTTTAAAATCTTCTGGCTAGTGATCTAGTATCCTAGAGGATGAGGGAGATTCTCCATCTCTGGAGTTCTTATGGTGCTGAGACAGCTTTAGGCCAATCTTGTCCAGGCCAGTGAGGCCAACCTGCATGACCACTTTAGTCCTTTCTAGAACTCAGGATTTTTATAATTGTAAAACCTTGCAGCACATTTAAAGAACAAGCTGAAAAGAGATTGCTAGGGTATAACTAAAATAATGCAAAGATTTCATTTCATATTCATGTTCACATTTATGGTGCCTTTAAAAACTGTAGCATTTCCTTTGCTGTGCAAAAGCTTTTGTAGCACCTTAGAATCAGGCAAAACTAAGATACCTTTTGTGGTTTCCCAACTAATAATTTTATCAACCATTCCATATCAAAGTCTCAATCTTCTATAATATACTTGCTAAACATTAATTACTATAAACCTTTTACCTTTATTCTTATAATGAAAGATAAGAGCATTGTCATATATCAAACAATAGAAAGTCAATTCTATTTGACATTGCTTTCTGTCAGAGCAAATATTACATTTCTTCGCAAGTAGAATATTTATTTGGGAGTAATTTTACAGCCACACATAGCCATAATCTTCCTTCAAAATGATGAATTTCCAAGGACAAGACTTGTATGATAAAATTCCACTATATAATTTAATGATCTAGAAGAATGGTTGGACCATCGTTGAATTTATAGACTCTTTGTGTATTAAGAAGTAGACATGAGCTCAGACTTCTCCAGTGATGAATAGGTCCAGGGGCATGAACAGCAACTATTCATAAAAGGCCAAGGTCTCCTCAAATCACTCCCTCTTGGGGTCAAGATGTACACAGACTATTGCAAATTCTCTCATCACTTATTAAAAATGTAAACACCATAAGGTGGCAAAGCCCATAGCTTGAAAAAAAGGAAGTTTCATGGCTTCTTGGCCTCAGCCTGCAGACCTCTAGTGGGATGATGTAATCGGGGCACAAACTGGTTTTTAATGTGATGTAGGTCACACTTGAAGCAGACTCTGGAGAGGTCCAAGGGCACAGGCTATCTTTCACTGTCAAAGTGTGGTTCAGGGTTGATGGTATGACCAGCATGACTCTGGAGAGCTTTGGGCAAGAACCATACCTGGCCAAGATCAACAGTACCTAGAGCTGTTTTAAATTCAAGGATACTGCCCTTGTTTTAGAAAGAATCAGTTCCCTCTTTTTCATTCCATGAGGTCTTCTTTTTTCTTTTGTTACTGGTAACAACTCTAGGAATAGGGTGAAAACAAAGAAATGTAATACTGCATCAAAATAAGCAGCCTGTAAAAAAAAAAAAGTCAATAAATCAGATGATTTGCTGTGTCTACACAAGGTCAAATTGCAAAGCAGATTGACTTTTTTTTCCCATCAAACTGTCCAGCTTGGGACTCATAACAGCAGAATGCTTGGTGAATTACTTTAAATCTTTACAACAGAAAATAAGTAAAACATTAATTTTAACTCTCTAAATGACTGAAAATGAAATAATCAAAGATCAAAAATAAAAAAAAAAACCAAAAAACCAAACCAAAGAATGTCCTCTTAAATGATATTTAAAGTAGAATTTACCTCTTTATTTTTATAACTTCAACAAAAGAAGACATTGGGAAGGCTGAGAAAGTGAGTGCAGTGTGGACCAAAACAAAAGGAAACATAGGTAAGATAAGGGAAGGGACTATTAGGTAACTGGTCTTTATTACTCAGCAAGCCATGTGTCAGTGATTATGCCAGGTACTCCACATATTATCTCACTTCACACATACAACAGCTCTGTGAGATGAATATTTTAATAATCTTGGTATTACAAATCAAAATTGATGGTATAGCAACGTTATGTAACTTATGCAACAACACACAGATAGGAAGGATCCAAATGCAGATGTGGGTAAGCCCTTGTTCTTTTCTAGTGTTTCATGCTGCCTTCTCTATATCATCCAGTCATCTGATTTCTAATCCAGCTCTCATTCCATGTCTAAAACCTAACTGAACACAAACTGCAAATGATCGTTAGCCTTCAGTCTTCAAGGGTGGAGGCAGGAGAGCTCACGTGGGCTGCAGGCAACTGCCGCTGCAGGCAGAAGAGATGCAGGAGGGTGGGGTCACAGTCATGATCCACTAAATGCAAAGGCCATTTCTCACTGGTGAGGTTACAGTAGGAAGGCCCAATAACTCTGCATTTCCCCCCAAATTCTCCCTCTTTGACATTTCACAGGTGCCATCTCTCAGTCTTTCCCAGACTCCTTTGTTCCTCGTGGTCCTGGTGCACCGTCACAGTGAGGTGACAGAGCACAAGAGGAACATCTCAGGACTCCCACGCCTCCAGTGGCCTAGAACTAAAGGCATCCCCATGCTTACCAAAAAACCAACCTTTTTCAAGTTTGGTAAGAAACAAATTTGAAAAAGCACAGAATCCCACTGGAGATAAAATAAGATGATTTATTTTGGAAAATGTGTTCAGAATTTATGCTTTTGAACAAATGAACCAGGAATTCTATACAGCAAAACTTATTTAAACTGGAAGGAATGCACCACAAACTTAGCAGTTTTTCTCTAGATAAACAGAAACACTGGTTATTTTTTTCAAATTTTTTCAATTTTACATATCCTAAAAATGAGTTTATATTATTTTTAAATGGAAAAATACAAACAACCTTCAGTTTAAAAAGCAATAAAAAAAAAGTTTCTACTTAACAATTTCACCTTGAGAGTACTTTGAGGGGATTTTGTGATGTACGCACCATGTGACATTGCTTTTAAGATTATCTCTGACATAGATTGAGTTACCTTGGTCAATAAATTTCAGTT